ATTCGATATAATTTTCATAAAAAGCGCTTCTTAAAACAAAATAGTCGACACTGATATCGACTTAATCCAAAGAGTAAGAACAAGTTGAGGCCCGGAGGCACTATGAAAATTCATAAAAACGATTCGTAATCCGATATTATTTTCATAAAAAGCGACTCTCAAATACTAACAGTCTGACTCTGATATTGATTTAATCCAAAAAGTTAAAAAAGTAAAAGTTAGTGACGCTGATATTGATTTAATCCAAAAAGTATAAAAAATTCGAGGCCCAGGTGGCCTAATCACAGATTCGATATAATTTTCATAAAAAGCGCTCCTTAAAACATAATAGTCGACCCTGATATCGATTTAATTCCAAAAGTATAAAAAAGTCGAGGCCCAGGTGGCCCAATCACAGATTCGATATAATTTTCATAAAAAGCGCTTCTTAAAACAAAATAGTCGACACTGATATCGACTTAATCCAAAGAGTAAGAACAAGTTGAGGCCCGGAGGCACTATGAAAATTCATAAAAACGATTCGTAATCCGATATTATTTTCATAAAAAGCGACTCTCAAATACTAACAGTCTGACTCTGATATTGATTTAATCCAAAAAGTTAAAAAAATAAAAGTTAGTGACGCTGATATTGATTTAATCCAAAAAGTATAAAAAATTCGAGGCCCAGGTGGCCTAATCACAGATTCGATATAATTTTCATAAAAAGCGCTCCTTAAAACATAATAGTCGACCCTGATATCGATTTAATTCCAAAAGTATAAAAAAGTCGAGGCCCAGGTGGCCCAATCACAGATTCGATATAATTTTCATAAAAAGCGCTTCTTAAAACAAAATAGTCGACACTGATATCGACTTAATCCAAAGAGTAAGAACAAGTTGAGGCCCGGAGGCACTATGAAAATTCATAAAAACGATTCGTAATCCGATATTATTTTCATAAAAAGCGACTCTCAAATACTAACAGTCTGACTCTGATATTGATTTAATCCAAAAAGTTAAAAAAGTAAAAGTTAGTGACGCTGATATTGATTTAATCCAAAAAGTATAAAAAATTCGAGGCCCAGGTGGCCTAATCACAGATTCGATATAATTTTCATAAAAAGCGCTCCTTAAAACATAATAGTCGACCCTGATATCGATTTAATTCCAAAAGTATAAAAAAGTCGAGGCCCAGGTGGCCCAATCACAGATTCGATATAATTTTCATAAAAAGCGCTTCTTAAAACAAAATAGTCGACACTGATATCGACTTAATCCAAAGAGTAAGAACAAGTTGAGGCCCGGAGGCACTATGAAAATTCATAAAAACGATTCGTAATCCGATATTATTTTCATAAAAAGCGACTCTCAAATACTAACAGTCTGACTCTGATATTGATTTAATCCAAAAAGTTAAAAAAATAAAAGTTAGTGACGCTGATATTGATTTAATCCAAAAAGTATAAAAAAGTCGAGGCCCAGGTGGCCTAATCACAGATTCGATATAATTTTCATAAAAAGCGCTCCTTAAAACATAATAGTCGACCCTGATATCGATTTAATTCCAAAAGTATAAAAAAGTCGAGGCCCAGGTGGCCCAATCACAGATTCGATATAATTTTCATAAAAAGCGCTTCTTAAAACAAAATAGTCGACACTGATATCGACTTAATCCAAAGAGTAAGAACAAGTTGAGGCCCGGAGGCACTATGAAAATTCATAAAAACAATTCGTAATCCGATATTATTTTCATAAAAAGCGACTCTCAAATACTAACAGTCTGACTCTGATATTGATTTAATCCAAAAAGTTAAAAAAATAAAAGTTAGTGACGCTGATATTGATTTAATCCAAAAAGTATAAAAAAGTCGAGGCCCAGGTGGCCTAATCACAGATTCGATATAATTTTCATAAAAAGCGCTCCTTAAAACATAATATTCGACCCTGATATCGATTTAAATCGAATAGTAAAAAAAAGTCGAGGCCCGGGGACACTATTAAAATTTATGAAAATTATTCATAATCCGATATCATTTTCATAAACAGCGCCCTTCAAAATATAAGAGTTGACCCTGTTATTTATTTGATCCAAAAAAGTCAAGGCCCAGATGGCCTAATCACAGATTCGATATAATTTTCATAAAAAGCGCCCCCTAAAATATAAACGGTGAACCTGATATTGATTTAATCCAAAAAGTTAAAATAGTCAAGGCCCAGGTGGCCCAATCACAGATTCGATATAATTTTCATAAAATGCGCCCCCCAAAACATAATAGTCGACCCTGATATCGATTTAATTCGAAAAGCAAAAAAAAGTCGAGGCCCGGGGGCACTATTAAAATTTATGAAAATGATTCGTAATCCGATATCATTTTTACAAAAAGCGCCCCTTAAAATATAAGAGTTGATCCTGATATTTATTTAATCCAAAAAGTCAATGCCCAGTTGGCCCAATCTCAAATTTGATATCATTTTCATAAAAAACGCCCTCCAAATCATAATAGTCGACCTTGATATCGATTTAATTCGAAAATTAAAAAAAAGTCGAGGCCCGGGGGCACTATTAAAATTTATGAAAATTATTCGTAATCCGATATCATTTTCATAAAAAGCGCCCCCCAAAATATAAGTGGTGACCCTGATGTTGATTTAATCCAAAAAGTTAAATCAATAAGGCCCAATCACAGATTCGATATAATTTTCATAAAAAGAGCCCCCCCCCAAAAAATATAAGAGGTGACGCTGATATTGATTTAATTCAAATAAGTTAAAAAAGTCAAGACCCAGGTGGCCCAATCAAAAAAAAGTTGAAGCCGGGGGGGGGGGGGCAATCTCAAATTCGATATAATAAGCACCCCCCAATTACTAATAGTCGGCCCTGGTATCGATTACATCGGAAAAGTTATGAAAATGTGATGCTCGCTGGCACTATCTCAAATCCGATAGTATATTTTTATAAAAAGGGCCCCCTATAACATGATGGTTAATCTGATATAGATTAATTGGGGGGTTAGGGTTGGTCAGGTCTAATATGGCCGCTATTATTGAAGGAAATAAAAGAAAACATTTATATTCTTTATAGTAATGATGGAGTAGTTGAAAAAGCAAAAGTACTCATGGTAGGAATTAGGCTGAGTACTTTCTGTTATTCGATATAACAGCGCGAGTATTTTCTGTACTTAACTAAATCATGATTAACGCTGCGTGAGTACTCTCAGTACTCGCCGCTGTCAGCCCGAGTACAGAAACTACTCGATACTTTTTCTTAATAAAGTTACTCAACTCATGAAAGTAATCGAGTACTGCCCATCTCTTGTTTCCCCCACCACTCTCTTCTGGCCCTACCGCTTTCTTCGCAGCGGACCTTGTCCCCCTACATGTCTATGCATGTTCAAACCTGAGGAGATCCTTCTCCTCCACGGCCTTCTGTATTAAACATAGGCTATGAAAATAATATTATATTACGTATATTAACTTTATGAATTTCTTTGATAATAGAGTCTTCTGTTAGGTTATTCTAGGTGTAGAATTCGAAAATGATATTAGTTTTAAGATCGATTCATTGATTTTTGATTTAATAAAACTTTCTTTGATATTGGAGTCTAAGATTATCCGAGGTGTCAGATACTCTCCACAGCCTTCCATATCATTGATAAACATATGTTATAAAAATAATATTATATTACATATATTAACTTTAAGAATTTTTTCGGTATTAGAGTATACTATTAGGTTATTATAGGTGCAGAATTCGAAAATGGTATCAAAATTAAGATCGATTCATCGATTTTCGATTTATTACAATATTCATGATTTTATTTATATTGGAGGTAAATACATTCTTAAATTACTAAATACGTTTTGATATTTATGAAAAAAAATATATAAAAGTTGATGATAAGAGGAAGTGGAGGGGGAGGGGTAATGACATAGTTGTTATTTAGTATTAATTTTATAATATATTATCGTAAAATTATTAGAATATATTTATATACACTGACAGGCAAAAAATTACACCCACTTGATTTTTTCATGTTTTCATCTAATAATATTTCTGCTTTGGATTGGTCTATTGTTTTTAATGACTAAATAAGTAATCTCTTTGTTTGATTTCAATTAGGAATGTTAATACAGAGGACAATAACCCTTAATCCTTAATTCAATGAAATGATTCTAGATTTCAATGTTTACTTTCTATGGAATCAAAATGTTTATTCAGTATCATTAGTTCAGTGCCGTTTCTTGCAGTCTCCGGCTTTTAATTTTTTCAATATTTTTTTTTTTAAACTTTCATTATGATATTTACAACTGTATTAGTATGAAAACATCAAGTAAATGTGTACAGATTAATATTATCACATGAAACACGCTTGTTGAGAAACTACCCATTGGTTGCACTCTAATAATTTGTCTACATGAGGAGATACGAGGCCATCTTCTTTTCAGACGCCTCGGAGGGTTATCAGGAATCGAAGAGGAAGCAAGGTTAGAAACAAGAGGATTCGAATGGTTATGAAGTTTATTATGGAAGGATAAGTATCTGGATTTGGCCAAATCTAAAACATTTGGTGTCTCACATTCTAATCACCCGTATAACTTATCTAGCTTTCTGAGTAATAAAAAAAAATTCAATTCTAAGCACTGTCGCGAGTTTTCTAATACTCGTTCCGCTGTGCGACTGTGCCTAAAATATGTAATATAAATAGATACAACTTCGGATATTCGTTGAGAAATCGATGCCTGATACTATATATCATTATATTTTTGTTGATAAAACAGTCTGAGCCTAAATTATGTTGGATCTATTCGAATTTATTAACAAACCTGCCGTTTAATTATTTTCTTAATTATTCATTTTCGTCCGCAAGATTATTTTAACAAAATGATAATTCTCAAACAGTAAAAAAAAAATAACAAATCCATTATAATAAATATGAATTGTATACACCAGGATATGGAAATGTGGCACCACGAACCGAGTGGGGTAAACTGGCTACTGTCCTTTATGCGATTGCTGGTATGCCGCTTTTCCTGCTCTATCTTTCCAATATTGGGGACATTCTGGCCAAGAGCTTTAAGTGGACCTACGCTAAGTGTTGTCTCTGTACAGGTTGTCAACTAAGTCGTCCTTCAAAGGTAACCAATCTTCCTATATATTTTTAATTTAAAATAGCTTCTTGTTTATTTGTTTTTATAGTCTACTTGATTTAACCGATAAGTAAAAAATTGTGAGTCGATATTGTAAGACTTGCTAAATAGGTTACCAGAAGACACCAGTTTCAATAATCCAACCCGTGACTCATAGACCAGGAGCTCAGAACAAGTTAGCTTGCATATTTTATGACAACTTTTAATAATCAATATCATAAATATCTTCCATCAGGAACAAGAAATTGGAAACAAGCCACTATAAATCCGATGGAATACAAAATAGCGGCCAAGTTAGTCAGGAACAAATACTGATAAACTCATATATTTTATGACAGGTGTGTACGTCGTATAGAGGACGGGAACGGAAAGAAGTGCCTAGCCTGAGGGCCTTAACCGGACTCTTTCCTATCCCTGCACTCCACGACCAATAGGTAAGGATACCACCCGATGGCATCCTTGGAAAAGACAAAACCTACTTCTCTAGCTTCCGCACCGCAGTAGATAGTAACCAGAACAACTGGGGTCATACTACTGGGGAGCATCTAGCACACGACCACTACGTCTGCAACCGGCGTACCGCCAAGCGGTCCCGGCCACCAGCCCATATAGTCATTGCCTGAAGGAGGCGGACTACCAGCCCGTAGTACCATTTTTGGCCCTAAGGTCCCAGAGGCCATGAATGGTCACAGGCCCGGGGCAAGCCCCTACGGTTCCCCTGTCCCATGATAGAATGGAGGGGCTAACCACCTTATCATGAGAGAGGGAGGGATCTGTACCCTTCTTCCACCCATGGACATTAAGTCCACCAACATACTTAATATTACACTCACTCACACACACACTATACCATTCACTCTCCCACATACATACTATATCATTTTTCACTCCATTGCATTTCTCTTTTCCATCTCTTCTAACGTCCGCATCACCTTTCTCGCATACTCGCTAAAACATTTATACCCTTTTTCACTTATACAACCACGTATTCCTTTCAAACGAAGTTCTCTCAATTCTCGATCCATTACACTTCTTTCTCTTTCATACTTTATGCACTGAAATAAAACATGTCTAGCACTTTCTGTCCCCTCCTCATCACAGTCACACCACGGATTTTCACACAAACCGAAGCCAAACAATTTATCACGGAAGCACCCATGTCCGCTCAATACTTGACACATCAAGTAATCCACTTCCAGCCACTCCATATTCATTCTTTCTTTTACATTCGGTATCCATTCATACGTCCACCTTCCCTTACTAATTTCACTCCATCTCTTTTGCCATTCATTCACGCATACATCCCGTAATGTGCCTTTCTTCTTTACCCCTTCTATCACTTGCCCTCTCCATTCCACTCTACCATATCTTCTCATTCTGTAACTTGCTCATCTTCTCTCAACTTCCAAATCTAACGGCCACTGTCCTACCAGTACTTTTAATGCATCCTGCGAAATCGTTCTATATGCCCTCAGCCATCTTAATAATACCCTTCGCTGACCTCTACGCAATCGCCGTCTTGTCCATACATTTACTTAGCTCCCCAAGCTCCTGCCGCATAGCAAGTAATAGCCAAGTACAATCCTTTATATAATATTTTTACCAAGCTCATTCGCACACGTTCAGTCATCCTTTCATACATACTCAACACCCCATTAAAAAATCTTGCAGCTTTCTCACATACTATAACCACATGTTGTTGTATCCTCATTCGCTCTTCCCATACAACACCCAAGTATCGCACTCGTTCCACAAATTTCAATACATTGCCACTCACATTCACTCTTGGATATCTATTTCTTGCACACTTCCCTTTCAACATCATACATACAGTCTTTTCAGTCGATAAACACATCTTATTCTCATTCATCCATCGCTACCATGGCTTCATTCGCTCTTCTTTCAATTACACGGCGGGAATTTCCTTTTATCAATATCACTCCGTCGTCCGCAAAAGCGATCATGTCCCAGCCTGCCTCATTCATCCTACGCACACATCCATCAAATATCAGTTTCCAAATTTGTGGGCCCATGACAGAACCTTGGGGACGTCCCATGTTCACTTTTTTCCTCACTACTCCAGGTCCGACGTTCAACTCTACCGATCTTCCTGAAAGGTAGTCATTCATTAATTCAAACCCCTCCTTCCTTACGCCTCTTTCTCGCAGACATCTTAACATACCAGGCCACCACACTCTGTCAAACGCACCACTAACATCCAGAAACACTCCCACTACATACTTAGATTCACACTCACCAATCACACTTTGTAATTCATTCATCGCATCTTCCCTACACTTGAATCTAATAAACCCAAACTGTCTCTCATGCACACCCTCATTAAAAACATTCTCTAGTTTACTTACCATGATTCTTTCTAGTACCTTTCCCAACACTGGTAGTAAGCATATAGGTGGATATGACTTAATAAGTCCGTAGTCTTTGTCTTCACCCTTCAACAATGCTCTAACTACCCCATATTTCCATCTATTCGGAAACACTCTAAATTTAATACACATACGGTACAGTCTTACTAGCACACTTCTCAATACCTCCCAGCCTTTCTTCAACATTTCAATAATGATCTCATCTTTCCCAGGCGCCTTACCATTCTTACCCATCCATACAGCCACTTTCACATCTTCCTCTCTCAATTCCCATCTTTCACCATATTCCGGTATATACCTTTCATTCTGTTGTCTTATATCCACGTGCATTCCATTCTCATTTTCACTACAGTCATCCAAAATCAAACCGTTTAACAGTCGTTTTGCGCAGTCTTCCCACTCTATAATACCTTCTTCCTCTCCAATCATTCCCATCACCTTCTCCGGTTTTATTTGTCCCACTCCTAGCTTATATACCATATTCCAAGGTCCCAGCTCCTCCTGCTCCTTAATAAATTTATTCCAACTCTTCAGTTTAGCCTCCTTAATCATTTTCTTATATTCTCTCTTTTTCCTGTTATACTCCACTATTAGTTCGTCCTTATTGCCTCCCACACTTCCCCGCTGATATATCCTCCTCACCCGTGCTATCTCTCGCTTACTAACATTTAATTCGTTAGACCACCAACACACCTTCTTCATTCGTCGCACACCTCTTGGTATCGCCTTTCTCGCACTTTCTAAAATCCAATCTTCTACACATTTAGCCATTCCTATAACATCCTTTTTCCCTGACACTCTAAAACTTCCCACCTCATTTGCACGTTCCTTCAGACATTCCCTGAATTTCTTCCAGTCTGCTTTTCTCATTTGGAATTTCGCACGCTCCACTTTTTTATATTCTAACACTCCACCTTTGCATACCTCAAACAGTATCACACAATGTGCACTAGTAGTAACATTTTCGCAAACTGTCCAGCCATTCATTCTACCATTCATACTGGGAGAGACCACCGTAATATCAATATAGCTGCTACCCATAAAGTTGCTGAAAGTTGCAATTTTGCCATCATTCATAAATGACCAACCTAGTTGATCCACACAACACTCAAGGTCTGTTCCTCTTGCATTTACTACATTCCCTCTCCATCACTCATTTTTTGCATTTGTGTCCATACATACAATAATATTTTTCCCTCTCAACACACGACCCATCTTTCTCCAACACTCTAAATGTCCTTCTATACCTTGGGACGCCTGGAAATATGATGACACGAGGTACAAGTCTCCTACCGGTGTTACTAACTGTACCAGTACACAGTGGTTATCACATGATTTCCCCAACTTTAAAACACCTAGGTTGGGATCAATCACCAGTACCGCAGCCCACGGTCTTTCCCCGCCCACAATTATCCTTGCATTCATACCAAACCCAGTTATACCACCACCTTTTCTACTCACCCACGGCTCTGGCACCGCTACTACAGTCACTCCATTACACACAGACCATTCACGCAATTCCGTCGTCACCACCATTGCCCTATCCGTATTTAGTTGTGCTATTTTCAAATCATTCATACTGAGTGTTCCGTTTTAGCATAGCCCGCTGCATTTCAAAAATAAGGCAATTACCCGAGTGTACCGAGTGAGCCGTCTCCTTATAGCCATATCTTTTGCAGTTCACGCATTGCAGTCCCTCCTGCTCATCTCTCTTATCGCATGAGACTTCATGATGCCCATCCGCACCACACCATCCAAACGTTATAATTACATCACACCTACTCCCAGAATGGCCGAAACGATGGCACTTCCAACTCTTTCTAATACCCAAATATTCATTCACTCCCGCATACATTCTACCACCAATACACAATCTCTTAAACAACCGTGGACTCACCCGCACGACCCAATCACTAAATGCATCCTTCTTCTTTGTTATATATTCAGGCACATACTCACTCTTACATTTATCCATGGTCATTCCATCAAACGAAATCTCATTTCTCCTATGCACACACTCTAGGAGATCGTTCTTCCATATCTCATTCTGAACATCAAGCACTCTCACACGTGGCATTCTCCATCCTTTCTCACCATCAACAATCACACCTTTCTCTTTCAACCTTTCGTTCTGTCTCAACTTTTCTAAATCCGTTCTGTCATGTACTTCTATTACATAATCATTCTCTTTTTACTAACCCCCTTACACGTACATCACCCTGCTTGACATCTAACCAGGCCACTACCTCCTCTTTACTCAACTTAGCCTCACCACCAGGCATTTCCAAACGCACTCTTGGACCCTTCTTACCATATTTAACTACTTTCAACCACTCTCCCTCTTGAGCATTCCCATCAGTTTTAGCACTATCCGTCACCGTTTTCGCCACATTCTCAACAACATTCACAGCACTTACAACTTTTTCCACTTTTTCGCATACATTTTCACACACCCGCTCAACTCTCACAACCTCTTCTCCTACTTTCTCAACTTTCTCACCAACATTCTCACAAACACGCTCCATTCGTACCACCTCCTCCCCCAATGAAATACCTTCACTCATTCTCTTAAATTCTTCCCTAACCATATTCATAACCTGCTTTCCCGTGTTATCTATTCTCCTAGTAACTACTTTCTCCAATCTATTTTTCCCCTCATCCTCTACCAGCCTCTATAGATTACTGTCCACCCTATCCAGCCTTTCCGTGATTTTAAGAAGCTTTCCATATTCCTTCTCAATTTAATGGCATCTATCCACAACTTTGTCGCATCGTTTGTTAAAGTATTTCGCATGCTTCTTTGAGAAGTTCCTTTCTAAATACATTTTTATCTCTTCTAAACTCCTCAGTAATTCCACTCCTGCAACCTCTACAACATTTGTAGCCCCCCCCCTGAAGCTATTATCTCGCTCATTAAATCTCCTTCAGGAGAAGAGATCTCCATAGAGCTGTCATGGGTGCTCTCAGCACTCTCCCTGACCGACTCATCCACCTCTTTTTCACTCATTTTGTCTAAAAACCCCCAATAACTAAATAAACCCAGAAAACAATCTAAATTTTAAACCAAACAAGGCCACGTGGTCACCACGTGGTAACCTATTTTCACTTATTACGAAATCTCTACTGCACCAATTCAAATAAAATTTTGACAAAATTTACCTCTTAATAAGATCTAAATAATTATCAAAACGGAATTCCCCAAAACCGCCCCCAAATTAATAAAATTCTCAAAAACT